ATAGAGACAGACAAACTCTTCTTGGGTCCCTTCATCTCCTAAGCACACAGACCACCCTGAGGTGGGCTTCTTTGCTACTCAGGCAAGCACAGTTGAGTGACTTGGATTGTGTCTGCCCTGTAGTCACATACTGGTGACTCCAACATTGTCACACCTGGAGTAGCAGGCTGGTGTAGGGTGGCCCCATAGCTTTGAGAGCAACTCTGCCCCTGTATGAGCTAATCTTGCAACCCATATTGGCATTGGGACTGGATTGGGTGGGCTTGGAAATGAGGTCTATCTCCAGACATCATGGGAAATTCTGAAGGACAAAGCTAGCCCATCAGAATAGAGGATCCAAGAAGTGGGTTAGCAATAACAGGCAAGAAGATGGTTGCCTTACTGTTAAGGAAACGTCCAGCCCCCCACTGTGTTGCACTTTTGTGTGTGTGTGTGTGTGTGTGTGTGTGTGTGTGTGTGTGTGTGTGTGTGTGTGTTGAGCCAGCACAAATGAACTCTGTGTTTCCTCTCTGAGACTCAGCTCAATCTTAGGAAGCATACATTTTTTTCTTTGCCTCCTGCTTAGAGTAGACCATGCCTTCCAGTTTTGGGGTATAGACAGTGCTCCCCAGAGAGAACAGAATGTCCATATGAAGATATACTTACTCCAGCTTTGACTTTTGAGTCTCTGACCCACTTTAAATGGTACAATATATACTCAGCCGAAAAAGTGAAGTAGCTACAGGCAGCTGCTCTTTCAGACCAACAATTAATAATGCCAGTTCTTGTATCCCCACACACTGCAGACTCAGGCACTAAAGCCTTGGCCCATATAGATGTGGATTTAGTGAAACACATCAGCAATGTGACGCAGTCTGAGGAAGTCTTTTCTAGAGTGAGAGGACCAGGGAAAACCATCTTGGTTTTAAGATAAGAATATTTTAAAATTTATTTGTATGTTTTGTGTGTGTGATGTATGTATGTATGTGTGTATGTTTGTGTGCATATGTGTATGTATATGATACACATAGAGGGCAGAAGTGTCATGTTATATGTATGTTTGTATGCATGCATGCATATGTATATATATGGTATACATAGAATTCAGCAATGTCATGTTTTGTGTGTATGTATATATGTATGTATGCTTGTATGTTTGCATGAAAACGTGTGTATATGATACACATAACATCCAGAAGTGTCATATTGTGTGTGTGTATGTATGTATGTATGTATGTATGTATGTATGTATGTATGTGTATGTTTGTGTGCATATGTGTGTATATGGTACACATAGAAGCCAGAAATGTCTTCTTTGACTGAATACTGCCTTATGTGGAAAAACGGTTCTCCCGTTGAGCCTGGAGTTTGCTGACAGGCTGTCTGGCTAACCTGCCCCCAGGAAGCTTCCTGTCTCCACCTCCATAGTGCTGGGATTGCAGGTCTATAGGCCCAGCTGCTGTGCTGGAGCTTATGGTGTGCTGGATTCTCCGCTCAGGGATTTATACTTCACAGCAAGCACTTGACTGACAGAGCCATCTCCCTAGCCAGTCCCCAACCATTTTCTTAAATATTGGACATCTTTTAAAATATATGTTACATTCATTTACTTACTCTGTGTATCTGTCTCTCTCTCTCTCTCTCTCTCTCTCTCTCTCTCTCTCTCTCTGTGTGTGTGTGTGTGTGTGTGTGTGTGTGTGTGTGTGTGCTCCTGAGTGTGTGTGCAACAGCCTTCACAGGGAGGTCAGCTTTCAGGAGTGAACTCTCTCCTTCCACCATGTGGGTATCCTCTATACTTAATGACTTCTTCAGGCACAAGCAGTGGGCTAGTTTACAGTGCCAGTCATGGGTTCCCTCCTAATGATGGAGCCTTAAGCATAATTACATTTTATTTCCAGATGTAAATACCACTATTGCGCCTTTTGGGATACCTTGTCATTCTGACCCCACATTAAAGATGGTGAATAAATAAGTAAAGACATTGTCACAGGCACACAGTCAGCACACAGTAGCTCCCAAGGAAAGCAGAGGCAGTTACAAGCACCCACCCATTATATACATCACTTAGTGCTATATTCCCAGGCAAGAATCCATTCTTCCTAGTACACTGTTCAGATTTTTGCTAGCATGCTTTGTTTTTAATTTTTTGAGTCATTTGTTTTTCAATGGTACAGAATTGCCTTTTCCGCCAAGCAAATCTTTTCCAGTTAATGCTGGAATATTCTAGCAAATGTCCTCTGTGCCTGTGTTGCCTCTTTTATCGCAAACATGTATTCATGGGGAAAAGATAATTCTTTCATTATATAAAAATTATTTCTCTGCCTTAGTCTCTCAAGTGATGATAAAATATTTCTTCTCTGTCCTCACTGTTCTGTTTTGTTCACCTGGTTTCCTCTAACTGATTTCCAATAGATGCCTCGGAACTGAAACGTATTTCTCAAATGGGAGCTTTCTATGCATATCCAAACATTCAAGTCTGTCACAACACTGATGGGCAGGGTAGCTGGCTGCAGGTGAGCTAGCTCACTGTAGTAACTGGAGCTCTTCTGTATGCAGTTCCTGCCTGATGATGAGACAAACAGCTTTGGTTGCTTTCTCCTTTAAGCAAAAACAAAAATCTGCAATAGAAATACAATCAACTCAGAATAAAAAGTGGGTCTCTCTCAACCACTGGAAAGGATGGATGAGAAGATATGTCCATATCTCAAAATACATCTACACTCCATTGTCTGTGGGTCAAGAGGGGACATACACAGGTCATAACCTGACAGTCAAACATATTGATCTGAAGGAGTATAAAACTGCCTAGGGATGCAGCTCCATTGATGGAGTGTCTGCCTAACATGCTAAAGGCCCTGGGTCCCATCTCCAGCACAGCATAAAACAGGCATGTTGGCACACACTTGTAATGCCAGGACTTGAGGATGGGGGACAGGAGGATCAACCTTGATTGCACAGTGATTTCAAGGCCAGCCTGGAACTCTGTCTAAAAATTAAAAACAGCAACAACAAAGGTAGCCACTTGGGTAGGGTTGGGAACAGAAGGTACAGTGGGTCCCATAGACATACTTGGGATAATTTTCTAGAATGTGCAGGAATATGACTTAAACTAGAGCATTCTAAGCTTTAGAGTCCACAAATGTGCCGCGAGGGCTCTCATTAGTATCCAGTTTTCTTCTTAGCCTGCAATAGGAACATGCCCCATTGCTTCTAGCACCTAGCAAAGGTAATTAAAGCCAGGAATCACAAAGCCCACAGACTACTCTGAGACCATGGAGCCACTGACACCATAAATGCTGCATCTCATGTCATCATAGGTCACACAAGGATAGGTTGATTTAAAAGGGCACCTACAACCCCTGCTTTACCCCTCAATGCAGTTTAGACAACACTTCATTTTTTTCTTCTTCTGAAACTGATGCCTCTGCCTTTATTCGGTGTCATTAGTTGGTGTGTCCAAAGCTTACCACCCTGGGCACCCATGAGACTCCTGGGCTTCCCAGCTGAAATGCAAGGTTTCTCGACTAGCTATCTTTTCTGTTGATGCTGTTTTGAGATCCATCCCGAGCCCCATGCAAACAGGCATAAAGTGATAAGGGTGAAGGTGTACCACCTATGGATGACCTTGTGAATAAAAGTTACTTCAGCCATCTATAATCATGCATGGATTTCACATTCATTTTCCCCTCCTTTAGAAACCTTTTCTTCAAAGGATAAAACTTTACTTTTATAACACTAACAAGAAATTATGAGACAATCCCCAAACCATCAGCTAATAATAAATGGATTTTGGTGAATGACCCAAATCAGTTTGTTTACAGTCTTCTGAAAACCCTGTTAGGGCTTCATGCATTCTTGAAAACATCTTCTGATAAAGCACAGCATAACCACTAAGAACAAAAGCTGGAAAAGTCTATAGATTTGAGCCTCAAATTCTGAAAATTTCCCCTCATTTACATACCTTTTATCCTTAAGGGAAAAAAAATGATGTGACCAGTTTATGTATTCTAAACGTATGCTGAGGATCAAAGCTGGAAAAAAAAATGTAGCTTGCTTAGAAAAATACATAATTTTTTTAAATACTTGCCGTTTTATCCTCTTTCATGATATATTAATGTACATCTAATGCTGAGCCATCCATTTCTCAAAGTAGAATGTAATGGATGACACGTGACCAAGATAGTATTATTTACCCCTGGAAACACAGAACCACCCACAGTTGCTGAAGACCTGAAAAGAAACCGAATTTCACTGATCTATGGTACTTCGTTTAAATTTAGACTTATTTCATGAAAGAAAAAAAGTGAATTTTCAACGTGTACTTCCTCCAGTAGCCACTACATAGAAAGAGATCATGAAGCCACTTGTTAGTAGATTTCATAAATACTTAGCAGACACTGATGAAGGGACCCTCTGTTTCCTAACGAAATGGAGCACATTATGTCTGATCTGTGCTGAGTGTTTCTGCTTTGGTGAGGGTTTCCGTGCCATTAGTGTGAGTCACAAATGCAAATACCCATTTGTTGTTGTTGTGCTGTGGCAAAAGCATGCTGTAACCAGCCCACATGTTTCTGCACCCGCGGCGGGTCGTCCATTCAAAGGGCCTAGCGCCATCTAGTGTCCAACCGAGGTATGAGACGTGGGAAAGCTGGGGAAACAACTGGATTTCTCTACACACTGCAGTGGGTTATTGAGGTCGTTGAGTTCTTTACTTTATCTATTAACTCGGTCCTGAAAACGTTAGCTTCTGCTCAAATCCACTGTTTCTCAAGAGTTCTTCAAATTAAATACTTTTCATTCCTATAGGATAAGTCAGTGTCTAATACCTTTAGCTCTCACTGCAGATTCTCATAATGGCATTCTGCCCATGCTAAGCTACCAGTGTGTAAACCACACTCCCTCCGAGTTGTCTCCTGACCTGTGTGAAACCAAATCATGCTCTCCCAGCCCAGCCTTTTCCTTACAAGAGACGTGTGTAGCGTTCTCTCCACACTGCTGACTCTACTCTCCTTGCTTTTCAGATTGTCTACAAAGCCTGGCTCTGCTCCCAGTACTTTGAAGTCACACAGTTTAACTGCAGAAAGACGATTCCATGCAAGCAATATTGTTTGGAGGTGCAGACCAGGTGTCCGTTCATATTGCCCGACAATGACGAAGTCATCTACGGAGGCCTCTCCAGCTTCATCTGCACAGGTATGGCTGGCTGGGCGGGGCCTTGGATCTCCATCGGTTTGTTGCTTTCTTTTGCTCTCATACGCTGGAGCCTTCGCAAAGATATTTTTGCACTGTCTTCTGGAAGCATGGAAAAGCCTCCCTAACTGACTTAAACAAGAATAAACCTCTCCACCACACATCTACAACCAGTTGTGGGTCTCTATGAATGTCCCATAAGGATAACTGCAGGGCCCGGGGAGGGGAGGAGGGGAGTGTTTGTAATGACTACTGTGTATTTGTGGTGAATCTTGTCACCTATCCTAATTGGTATTGAGAACAAAAAAGAAATGTACGTCCAAGTCATACATGTACATATTGGTGTGTAAGAGTCCCAGGCAGGTGATTTCTACATTTTCTGCACTATATTGTTATACTTCTTTTGTCACAAAACACACACACACACACACACACACACACAAACACACACACACAAAAAAAAACTCAGACTTGGCAGTTTCTGTCTCCAGAAACCCATGAGCATTATGTAGTTTAGGCAGACATAGAGTACAAAGTCAAAGTTAAGAGCAGTCTTGTTCTGAAACAGCATGCCATTGAGAACCACAACCCTTACTAGAGCACTGTGTTCACCGGAGTTCTTTATATTCTCTTAGAAGAGGAGGAAAGACCGAAGTTTTTAAACTATTTGACTTGATTCATGGCATGTTTAACATTTGGGTTTTGAGCATAAAAATAAGTCTTGGGAAACCAGAAAGTTCTCTTTGTATACTGGGCTTATAGGTGTTCCACTAATCAATGAAAGGACTAGAAAGATAGCTGCTATGTGAGTGAAAGTATTTGCTGCTGACCCTAACTACCTGAAATTCAGACTCTGGGGAGCAGATGGCAGAAGGAGAAAACCCGTCCCTTCAAGTTGTCCTATGACATGCAGGCACATACACAAGATTAATTTGATAATAAGAAAATATAACAAAAATAAAAGAGCACACGCAGCAGTTAAGAGCACTTGTTCTTGTAGAAGACCTGAGTTGGTTCCCAATACCCACATGGTGGTTCACAACCATCTGTAACTCTAGTACCAGGGGATCCAATGTCCCTTTGGACCTCTGCAGGAATCAAGCATGCATATAGTACACAGACATACATTAAGGGAAGACACTAATATACAGAAAATAAAATAAATAAAACAATGACAAGTTGAAATGCTCATTGTGACAGTGTATCACCTCAGGGTAACATACTATCAAGATACAGCCAGTGCCCTGAGAGCCTGCCCCAGCTGGCAGAAGGGCACTTATCCCATCACACAACCTAGCTTTTCACTGATGAACCACAATAACTGTCCCTAGCCCAGGCCTCTGCTAAGAGGATGTAGATGAGGGGGATATACAGGTTTGACAATAATAAACAAGAAGAGAGAGGGGCTACAGGGAGAGGGTGGAAGAAGAGGATGAAGAAGACAGGGGAAAAGGAAGGGGAGAAGGAGAAACTAAGAATGGGAAGCAAGAAGAGAGAGAAAGCAGATGGGGAAGGAAGGGTGAGAAAGGAGGAAAAGAGGAAAGAAGGCAGTAAAGGAAGGAAGGAAAGAAGGAAAGGAATGAGGGAAGGAGTTATGAAAGAAAATCTTTTTTTCTGGGGGGAAACACCAGAAACAGGCTTTAATTTATGTTGACTTTCCCACAGAGCTTTCCATAAATGACCATAAAAATTAAAGGCCTACATTCTAAAATTCTGTCCAAGGGACACTCATGGCATCTGGCTTTCTGTGAAGGTCTTAGTTCTTTCCCTCATAGCATGCAGTCCTCTCCTGGGCTGCTCAGTGGGTCCCACCAGGAACTCATGAACTCAAAAGCCCAAAGGGAGTTTTGAGGTCCGTGTGTTGACCTTCTGCCATCTCCTGGCCTCTATCTGTGTTTGTAGAGTTCTTTCTCTGGACACCTTCAGACTATAGGATGCAAAAGCAGTCCCAAGTATCTTCTGCACTGAAAAGGCTCCTGTAGAGCTTGCATTTTTAGTTGTTTTGGGTTTTGTAAAATCTGCTGGTTTGTAGCCTCAGCGACATCTCTAAGGAAAGGTGACAAAAGAAGAAATCTGTCACTGGCCCAGAAGATAAAGCCAGCTCCTGGAGGCCTCTCTGCTGTCTGCTTTCTGTATGCTCTGTGACCCTTATTGTTACTGAGTTCAGAACGCTACAGTTAGTTTTTCAGGCACACCACGCTGTTTTCATACATACACCAGAAAGAATTGTGCCCTTTTCTGGTGTGGGGCAAGGCTTTGATGGAAGCTCTATGTCCAGGCTGATCACTGGCAACTGTCGTCCCTACCTGAGGTTGCAAAGCCCCTCAGACTTTGAGTGAGTGGCTGCAAGAACTTATACTAAAGTCACCGTCCTGCTCCTTCCTGCCTGGCCATGCGAGGAGACTTCCAGGCATGACCAAAAGCAGACTCTGTATCTAGAAAAGCCAGAAACTCAGGAAGGCCCCTACTGAGGTTCATAGTACTCAGACTGGCTTCTGGAAGAGTGATGCCTTCTGGAGCTCAGCACTGGCTCCCCAACTGTGACTTAAATGGTCTCTGAAGCTCCTTGTTGCAGATACACACAGACCCACATACCACCTTGGAGTGGATGGAAACTGGCACATTCTTGTACATGTACTGAATGAAAGGGTCTTCTAAACTCAGGAGGGAACAGGTTCAAAAGGGAACTCATGTGTGACCTCTTTACCATGGCTACTGTTATGCCAGGGCTCCTCACATGCAGATATACAGCAAGGGTCCTGTATGGTCTATACTAAACATGGTCTATAAATACAAAACAAAACAAAACCCCACCATCTAAATCAGAATTCCTGCTCTTTCAAGGACTAGTGCATCTCTCGGTCCTCACCAGAGAAGCCTGTTTGCAATAAATGGAGACTAATGCAGAGACCCACAACCAGTCCAGGCACAGAAAATAAGAGGCTAAATGTGACATCTGTGTCACATCCCCCCCCGGGGGGGCGTTGGGGGGCTCTCGGATTACTGAAGAAGAGGCAAAAAGATTTTAAGAGTCAGAGTCAGTATACGACTAGGGAGAAAGAGTGTTTGGGGAAGCTGTACGTATTAACTCACATTTGTCACATCCTGCACAAGAACCATGCATGCTTAAACCAAGCAAAACCAGAGTGTGCCAAAGGGAGGGGAGCACAAAGTCCTGCCCCTGGATGAGGAGCTGTGGGTGGTTGATAGCTGCTAGGAGAGGAAGAACCGGTTTTCTTTAGTGTGTGTCCCCTGATTAGTCGACCATACTCTAGTGGAAAGCTACACACACTGCAGAATCTATGGGCTACAGAAATTGGAACTGATTGGGTTATTAAAAAGAGGGTGGAGACAAAGCTGGGTGGGTAGAGAGGAGAAATATTTGGGAGAAGCTAATAGAGGGAGTTGATGTGATCAGAATATATTGGCAAAATTCCCAAATAACTTTAAAAAATGAAAGAAAAGAAAAAGGAAAGGGGGAAAAGGAATACTAGCATCTCTTCAAGTTCGACAGATTTAATGAGAGTGGGTTTTCTGACAGATCTTATGAGTGTGGGTTTTCTGTGGTTTCTTTGAGGGTAGAGAACCCCTTCATAACACTAAGAACTAACTACATGTGGCCTTGCCTGGTGCTACAGGGAGACCAGTTCTCTCCAGGGATGTGGTCACCAAGACTTCAGTGGGACCCTTCAGTTCCCTTAGACATGAGTGGAAACTTCTAACTCCTTTAGCAGCAAACAGTGCAGCTCAGACAAGTAAAATTCTGGTAGTTTCCAAACACAGGTTTTCTCAAAACAGCTATGAATTCAAGTCAACATTTCACCACATTGCTTCTTTTGCTTTTGATACTGAGGTATGGCCTCCCGTAACCCAGGCTAGCTTTGAGCTCCGTATGGAACTGAGGGTAACCTTGACTGCCCAGTCCTTCTGCCTCTGTCTCCTTAAGTACTGAAATGACGGATTCAACAGTATGCCTGATTCACAAAGTCCTGGGGATCAAACGCAGAGCCTAGAACATCCTTGGACACCTGAATCCATTCCTGGCCCTCATTGGAGGCCACCTGAGCCGAGTCCGGGCCCTGGTTGTTTTTTTTTTTTTTTTTTTTTTTTTTTTTTTTTTTTTTTTTGTGGCACTTACAAAACTTAGCCATGTCCTGAACTTTAACTCTCAGATGTAACGCTCTGATAATCAACACAGTAACCTGACCCTTATTAAGCCAGCAGGATTTACTAAAGAGCCGAGGAAGCAAGCCTGTCTACCATGTTAAATTGTCTGACTTGGGGCGCTGTGCTCATGCGCCAACGTTCTGGCCGCAGATCTAGATGACACAAGGGCTTTTGCCTGTGTTTAATTCTGCTTTGGGTAAAAAGGGGGCGATGAACTGAGATGCTTCTTGGTTTTTCCATTGAAGAACAGAACTGACATGACGGGAGGAATGTTTGGGAGGTAATTAGGGAGAAGTTCCGGGGTGTTGTCAGGGCAAACTGTCAGTCACTACTGGGGTGGTTGAGTCACAGCAACTCGCGTTTTTTGATATTTTTTTTCCTGCTGCAGGCCCCATCACAGGTTGCCCTGTTAGGGAGGGTCTCCATCTACAGAGAAGGGCGGTGACCACCGTCTCACTACCCAGCCTCCACTCTAGTAATTACAGTGTTTCCCTCTCTGCCCTCCCGCACCGGGTCCAGGGCTCCCAGAGCAATCCTTGAGTGCTCACCGGTAACAGGGAGCTGAGATTCAGGAGACGGGAAGCAGCAGAGTGCCACAGCTGTGGGTGCTATGGTAACAAACATGGGAAATTACCCTTTGATTGATGGATAAAGTAGGCCTGATGTCATTTGCCGCTCCAAATTCACAAGAACAAAAGTAGAAGTTGGTCCGCTGGGGGTTACTGACAACGAAGATAAAACATATTTTGAGAATTCCGTGTAAATTCTGCATCCCATTCTTTTAGCTGTGACAAGGATAGGGTTATGTTTCTGCCTCTAGGGAAAACACCGTAGGA